TGAACCCTACACCTACCAGCCATTCTTCCTGGGTCCACTAACTGATCCCTTCCTATCTACTTAAGACTAGTGAAGGTAAAATTTCTAGCAACTTCCAGCTCAAGTGGAAGACTAACTTCCCCTGTTGGATTATCTTAACTCTGCCTACACATAGGGAAGGCCCCCTTCATTTACTTTGAGGGAACTATGTTCCCTACAAGTGAGAACTGAGTATGGATTCCCAAAGAAAATAAAACACCAAAGTTGGTACCTACAATTTTAAGCAGCAATACAAGATAATGATGTGTTAGGTGATCTACCATACAATTCCACAAGGAGCCACCAGGTTGATCCTGCAAAAGAAACTTCATCCTGAGCTTCATTGGTTGTGTTCAAATGATACTTTAAGGTTAGAACATTTGCAAAGAAAGTACCCTAATGTTGTTACGGAGATCAATGTGCCCATGTGAGCATTGTGGGATATCTGCCCAACCTTCACAGTCACTTCCCTGAGTTACACTTGTACCAGGCAATCTTGTACCCAGTGAGAGCTGGTAAAGCATAGAGAGGAAGACACTTGGTCGACACTGGCCCACTGAGTTTCTTTCTTACTGGAGAGTAACATTCAAGAAGGTTAGCTCCTAGCTGGCAGCTTATGAGAAAAAGGAGAGTCACAGCATGCAAATGGCTGTGGCTCATTTAATATCTGTGGTACCCTCTTATTTGTATGTTTTTAATAGTGTCCTCTGGAAGTTAAATGACAGTATTCCTAATAGAGATGATCAGGTTTTAGGTAGGGCTGAGTAAGTATCCGTATGCCACACATAAGTCTGCCAAAGCACCGAGAAACCAGACGGCTGGGATGTAGCTCAATTTGTAGAGTTAGTTCTAGCATGCACAAAGCCTGAATTTGATTCCCAGCATTGCATTAAGCAGATGTGGTGATGCATGCCTATAATTCTAGCACTTAGGAGGCAGAGGCAAGAGGAATAGAAGTTTAAAATCATCCTTAGCTACATAGCAAGTTTTCAGATAGCCTGGGATACATGAGACATTGTCTCAAAAAAAAAAAAAGAAAAAGAAAAAGAGAGAAAGAGATGGGGAAGAAAAAGGAGATGAAGACAGAGAAAAGAGAAAGGAAAGAAAGGCAGGCAGAGAGAGAAAAAGACAGAGGAGAGAGAGAGAGAGGGGAAGAGAGAGAGAGGGGAAGAGAGAGAGAGAGAGAGAGAGAGAGAGAGAGAGAGAGAGAGAGAGAGAGAGAGAGAGAGAGAACAAAAGCAAGGAAAATCATAAGAGAAAGTATAGGGTAGACAACAAAAATGAGGCATTAGCTGAAGTTACTGGCAGTTGTGGATCACCCAGCATGGGTGCTGGGAACACAACTTGGGTCTTCTTCAAGAACAATTTATGTATTTAACCACCAAGTCATCTCTCTAGCTTTATCTTCCTGGTTACTATGAAATGAAAAGCTATGACTTACCTCACCTTATCAAAATGTTTTTTTTTTCTTTGCCTCAGGCCCAGAAGTAACAGAGCCAAGCAATCATGGTCCAAAAACACTGACACCATGAGTTAAAATAGTTCTTTGCTCTTTCAAGTTGTTTATCATAAAAATAGAGAGCTGTCTGGCACAGCCCTTTCCTCCAGGGTTCTAGTGTGTCCCCACGATAGCGGTGCTCTGGCTACTTCCTGAACTTCCTCCCTCCATTGTGATCTTATGAAACATTCTTCTGAGCTGGGTGATGGTGCACACCTTTAATCCCAGCACTAGGAAGGCAGAGGCAGGCGGATCTCTGTGAGTTTGAGGACAACCTGGTCTACAGACTAGTTACAGGCTCCAAAGCTACAGAGAAACCCTGTCTCAGAAAAAAAAACAAATAAACAAACAAACAAAAAACAAAAACCATTCCTCTGATTGGCTTAGTCTCAATTATCTAAGGGATTAACACTTCTAAAGTACTCGACGGTGTGCTTAATTTTAGTATTTCCTTCATCCTGTGGGCCACTCCCAATTTTTGTTCAACCTGGCAGTTTATATGCATTCTTGTAAGGAAGAAATGCCATCAAAGAAGGCCGAGAGGAAGAAGAAGGAAGCTGATGATTCACTTTGAACATTGAATATTTAGGCATAGATAAATAAGGATCTTTAAGAGTACAGCTTCCCAGTCCCAGAATAGAACAGGAGGCTCTGGCTGGGGAGCAATAGGAGGAAGATGGAGATCAATAAGACAGAATTGGAGGACCCAAGGACAAGGTGGCAGAGTAAGCAGAGGTGGCTCAGTCTTTGACTGCATCATCGCTGTCCTTTGATACTGCTCAAGAGTTCTGCAGAGAACTGTACATATACCAGTGTCTATTTGACTGTGTATCTCACATCGACTAAGCAGAGCCCTTGGTGTCTTGCCCTCTGAGGGAGTCAAAACCTCACCAATGACTGCAGAAGAGATGCCCTTAAGCCCCAAGACTTCCCTCAGTCCATCCAGAGGTCTATAGGCCCATTGACTACCCAGTGAATACTTGAGCAAGCACTGTGTGTAGTAGTGGCAGTCACTTAGAGAATTTGTAGTTCGGCAAGAAATTAGACAAGAAAAGAAATCATTTGATCCCTGTGAGAAAACTGAGAAAATGTGGGTTGGATGATAGTACATCCAGGGAGAGTGGGAGCCACCTGGACCACCTCTGCAGGAAGCACCAGTCTTTCTAAGACCATGGCCATGTCCTCAGTTCTGTCCTCTGTCCTATTCAGGTGGCTGTTGATCAAGACCAGGTGTGTTCTAGTTCCGTTTCTGAGGCTGTGATAAAGCACCCTGAGCCAAAGCAACTCATGGAAGGAAGGGTTTACTTCACTCACAATTCCAGGTTATAGCTGATTGTAGCAGAGAAGTTGAGATAAGAACTTGAAGCAGCTTAGCCACACCACATCCACAGCCTGGAGTAAAGAGACATAATTGACTCAACTCACATTCACTTCTCTAAAGTCAAGGCTGGAAACTAAGAAATGAGGGATACCCATTTTTAGGCTGGGTCTTCCCACATCAAATAAAGCGATCAATACACCCACCCAGCTCAGACATTGCCACAGGTCAACCTGATCTAGAAGTTCCTCATTGCAGCTTTCTCCACATGAGTGTAGATGTCATCAAGTTGACAACTAAAACTAACCATCACAAGGTCATATGCATGCTCCACAGAAAAGGTCATGACCAATGACAATGTTGTCACAAGCTGGGAAAGCCTGGGAACATGGCACAAGCCCCCATGGTTGCTTTCTCAGCCTCTTCCTCTGGCATATGGCAACCTTTTCCTCCTAGACATGCAAACCAGAGGCTGGTTTTTATTATGGTAAGCACCAGGCAAGCATTCAAACTAGCCTAAGGTACAGGAAAGGCATATTATAAAGACCCAGTGTGTCTCTGGGGACACAGAAGACCATCTTGTCCCTTTACCAGGAAGGTATAGTAGTGAGCCAAAGGAAACAAGGCAGACAGCTCTACAGACTGGCGTCTTAAGTCTCCAACTCTGCCAATCCTAGATGGGGAGGAATGCAGCTGGATGCTAGCACATGTGGCAAAAACACTCCAGGTTTTCACTGCCAACTCAGAATGAGTCAACACAGTGAGGTGGCTGCCAAAAAAGCCAACATAATCTTGAGCTGTGCTCATAAAAGAGAAGTGATGGTACAGCTTGTAGAGCAGTGCACCACCCACCAAGGAACACAGAATAGACAGGGGGCCAGGGAGGATCAGAAACCATGCCCTACCTTAAGCACCATCGGGAGCTGCTGTTTGGTCTACTCTTGAGGAATTGGTGAGAATGTCTTGGACTTTGGTTAAATGGGTTGTAGTCTGGGGGTCAGACCGCTTGAACTGAAATCCCAACTTAGGCAAACCCTGGGGCTTTGCCATGTTCTAGTAATGAACAGTTCTACTTTACTGTCACCACAGCCTTCTGAAGCCATGTCATACTTATCAGTACCATACAGAAGAGACAACTGAGGGACTGAGACCCTTGCCAAGGACCACACTGCCATCCAGCTGAAGAAACAAGATTTGAATACAAGGAGAATATACTTTTGTTTATTCCCATAACTAGTACTGTGTGAACCTGAACCCCTTTTCCTTACCATGCTTCAGTGCTTCAGTGCTGCATTTAAAATTACTCAGCACAACAGGGCAGTTGCACATAGGAACAACACAGCTGCTGTGACAGCATGCACAAGACCTGTGCAAGCAAAAGCCAGATATAATTCCAGCATAGAGAAGAGAAATGGATATGAAATCCCACCCCTAGGTAAGGAACTCTTGTAATTGATAGCTTCTAGGAGAGGGAGCATAGGTTTTCCTTAAGGTTATAGCCCTGTAGGTTGGTCATCTCTGATGGATGGCCATGTGTCCAAGAGTATAAGGACAGCACAAATTGCACTTGATGTGTTTAAAAAAACAGAGGACAAAGTTGGGTGGGTAGGGAAGTGGAGTGTAGATCCAGGAGGAGTAGAGGAGGGTAAATATGATCAAAACACATTATACAAAATTCTCAAGGAACTAATAAAAGAGGAACCCAAAGATGTATAGGCTTAGCCCAAAAGCATTTATTTGCTCACAGAAGCCTTACTCTCCAGTTGCTGCCTGGGAAAGGAAGACACGAGAGTTAGGATAAGAATAGCTAGATCTCTTTGGATTTCAACCTTTGTGGGATCTCCTCATGAGCTCTCTCTAACTTTATGGCTATGGAACAAACAGATTTCTCACATCTCATCTCCTGACTCCCTGGGGACATGTCCACAGAGTGAGAAGATTTTTCGATACTTAGCCTTAGAAAGCATGTCATGTTACCTCTATCAAATTGTGTTGGCTGAGACACTTGCCAAGATGCTCCCCAGTTCAGGAGTTGGGGGTCTAAAACGAGTATTTACGGAGGGAATGTTCTCACCACACAATACAAGAGGGAGCAGACACTGATGCTCTTATTTGGAGATAGGCCATCTGCAGCAAACATTCCCAATGTTCTAAGAATGGAGCTAAGTGCCTTACAGTCATCACACATCATCCTCACCAAACTCACCCCAAAGTCTGTTCTAGAAGGCACTGCAATCCCATCCTGCAGAAGGCGGAAGAGTGGTGAATATTCAACTTCCTCTGGTCTTGTTGCCTGTGAGTAGAGGATCTAGAATGAGCCCCACGGGTGTTTGGCCATGAAGCCACCCCTGGGAGCCAACTCATTTGATGGCAACCATAGAGACAGCTTCATGGCATGGTGATAGATTGTGGGAGTATTGACATCTGCCTGTGGGGCATCACCTTGGTAACTTCTTAGTAACTGTGTGGCCTCAGGCAAAGCTTTATTTCTCTGAGCTGTGATGTCTCTGGAGTAACCCAGGTGCGTGCCTGAAGAGATGATTCAAGACAAGGCAGGTAAGGTGCTTTGTATGCTGTCTGGAAGCTAGTGAGGACTCCATAAATGTCAACTGATGTTTTTTCTAAAAGCAGCCTGAGAAAGGTGTTTTCAAAAGACAAATCTGTAACTACAACCAAAAGTACAAGTCACACACCTTCAAGAACAGTTAATGCTTTTCATCCATTGATGTTGTCACACACATCTGTGTCAGGACACTGTGACAAGCTGGGGGCTCTCACTGGCCTGGAAAATCACACCTCCTTTCCCTCTCTCTCAGATAAACAAGCAGGTGGTGGATCTGCCTCCAAGAGCTCCACTGTCCTTCCCTGGAGGGGGCCTCAGGTGACTCAGCTAAGAGGGCACTCAGTGACTCATCAGGCACCAAGGACTGATTAAACGCCTTCAGATCTTGGGAAAGGAATAAACACCCAAGATACCCAACATTCTCTACCATTTCCAGACCCCAGAGACTCCTCAGACAGGAGACCATCGATTAGATAATTAACTGAGCTTCCATAAGAACAGAGGTGTTAGTCATTTGGTACACACATCTCCAGTGTCAGTATGAAGCACTGTCAACTCCCTAGTGAAGAAACAACCTTGTGGCTAGTCCCCTTCCTCACCCATCCCAAGGTTTTCCAAATCACCCAGAGTAAATAAGTTCCCATTAATGTCCCAGACACAGATTGCTTCCAAGAGGTGGCAACCTGGCTATGATTCCCTACAGACCCATCAAACTCAGCATAGACGTCCACCATGGACTTGTCTTCCCACATCCCATCAGGACTCTCTATGAAGTTTTCCATGGAGTGCCCACAGGATCCCTAGGATCCTGCCCTGCACCAGCAGGTGGTTTATCAGAACTTCTGCGTCAACCACTCACATCTCCTTCTTCTAGAGATCTCCCGGAGAGCAGCCCAACAGCTCTTGAATCCATCTCTAAAATCCTCTGCAGCTCTTGCCACCAGCCCTAGGAACTCTGGGGAAGGGACCAGAAGCCCTGATGTTCTCTGTAGGCTCTTCAGTGACTCCAGATGAGGACTACACTCATCAGTATAGTTCTCAAACCTTGACTTCACCACTACTCATCTTTTATAGGTTGAGTTGTATCTGTCCAACTCTCACACCAGGGCCCCAACCCCAGCACCTCAAAACATAGCTGTATTTAGAGACAGACACTTTAAAGGACACAACTAATTCAAAGTAAGGCCACTTGGATGGGCTCTCATCCAAGATAACCAGTACCTTTTAAAAAAAAGAGGGACATAGCCACATACAGAAAGATCATGTGAAGACAAAGAATGGAATACAGACACCTATAAGCAAGAAGAAAAATCTCAAAAGAAGCTACGCATGTCTACATCTTTATCCTGAACTTTTAGCTTTTAGAACAGTGATGGTCAACCTTCCTAATGCTGCAAACCTTTAATACAGTTCCCTATGCTGTGGTGACACCCAACCATACAGTTATTTTGTTGCTATTTCACAGCTGTAATTTTGCTACTGTTATGAACCACAGTGTAAATATCTGATATGGGACCTCCAAGGGGAGGTCACAGCCCACAGGCTTAGAATCACTGTACTGGAGTCATGAGAAAATACATAGGTTTTTTCTGACAGGTTGTGCACACCCCACATCTACCCTAAAGATGTGAGCCCTGGAATACACTCCCCTCTGAGAACCAAGTCTGCCTCCACTTCCCTAAGGATTTAATATTTCTCAAATTTCTTCATCCTGTTAGCTACTTCCTCAAGAAAGCCACCTCTCGCCTTTGTCTTCTAGCATCCACGGTGGTTTGAATGAAATGTACCCCAGAGACTCATATACCAGAGATCTTTGTCCCCACATGGTGGCACTGTTGTGGGGGTTTAGGTGGCACATCCTTGCTGAAGGAATCATGTCACTGTAGGCAGGTTTTGAGATACAAAGGCTCACACCACTTCAGTTCACTCTGAGCTGTGTGCTTACATTTGAAGATATGAGTTCTCAGATTCCATCTCCTGCTGCCCATGCTTCCCTTCTGCCTTGCCTCCCCACTGTAAGAACTCTGCAAGACAAAATAGGTTATTTCTTCTATAAGTTGTCTCCGTCATAGTGTTTTATCACAGCAAAACAAAGATAACTACTATAGCATCTCTACCTATTTCCTTTCTCACAACTCCATATTTCAACTCCCTGTTGACCCACCCAGATAAGTCTGAAAATAGAGAATGGAAACCATGTCTATCATCTACACATGTGCTTTGAACAGTGACCATAAGCTATATGGTTTTCAATAAATCCTCCTACATGATGGAAGGACAATGTGTAAGTAAAAAGCCACAAATAATTTCCAGTTTTGGTGAGGGATTTTGGGGGTCTGGTGGTTGGTTGGGTTTTGGTATGCTTTTGTTTTTCGAGAAAGGGTCTGCTGTATCCCAAGCTCTTGTAGATTCTCCCATCCAATTAGTGGCCAGTGCCAATCCTGTTTAGTTTCCAAGATTAGGTTAGATCCTGTGTGTTCAAGGTAGTATGGCCATAGATCTGAAACTTTCTATGTGGTGTGGCCAAAGATAATTCTGAACTTCTGATCGAGCCTCCTTCACATCCTAAGTGTTGGGACCACAAGCATTTACCACCACACCAATTTTATGAGGTGCTGAGGATGGGACACAAGGCTTCATATATTCTAAGCAGGAGCCTACCAACTGGGCTACATCCCCAGCCCATTTAGTACTGTTTAAAGTTACTAAGTAGCTTATAGAGATACTAAGGCAGTCTTCATCAGGGGAACCTCAGTTTCCAAGGCAAAAAGTATTCTCTGATAAATCTGTGTTCTGCCAGTCACACACTGGCCTTTAAGAGATATCTATGGGGCATAAGTAGGTGACTAACACAGATTCAGTTCAAGCACCAGGGCCACATGTGTCATATAATCCCATGGTGAGCAACAGCTACACTGAGAAACTGAACTCTAGAAATCCTGATATTTCTGTGGGAGGCAAGGCAATGCCTGACCACCACTACAAGACGTGTTGCATGGTTCTTGCTCTCTCTAGGCAGACTGAGGCACTACAACATATACCCATTCTGGTCTTGACCTAAAGAAGATATGTGTACACCTGTGCTTTAGGAGGATCACCCAGGTTCGTCTTGTGGAGCTTTGAAGAACCTCACTCTCAAGTCTCTGGTTCTAACCTTCCCCTGTGAGGTACTGACATTGATGGCATTTCATCTATAAAAAGCAAACCTGATTTCTGTGAATAAAGACCTGTCTACTTATAGAAAAAAACCACTTGATGTTAGTGCCATCCAGACCTAGGGTGATAGCCCATATGCAAACAGATTTCTTCCACCAGCCCTCTTGCATGTTTGGTTTTGTCATCATCTAGGACATGTGTTGAATATGTTTGCTCATTGGCCAGTTCCTGTCCACACCCCATATAACAATAGAATGAGGGACCCAATGAGGAAAAAGATTTTGTTCATTTCATTCCATGTTGTTTCTCTGGAGTCCACTGCCAGAATAGATGCTCAATGTGAATATGCTGACCAAACAGAAAATGAATAAAGGAGTGAATGAATGAATGCATATTCTCTCCTTCTTTCCCACAGAGAAAAAAAAAGACCAGTACCTATTCTTATCTTTACTTTAGTGATTCTCTTAAGCCCACAAGCAAGGAATGCTCTCTGATACCTTTTATCCCTTGTCTTTGTCTACAGACGACTTCCATTCTACAAGACACCCAACCTCAGCACCTTATCTACTTATGGATGTTGTTCCAAGACCCACAAATCTCTTCAGGGTCAAGACAATTTTACTCACACGCTTAGAGCCAGCTGTGACTCTGTTAATTCCAAAACTGTAGGAGCAAAGTTTTCAGGGGCCAAGAGCCAGAAGCCAAGAACTTGGCTATGATGGAGCTGGGAACATCAACAGTCTATTAGCAATTGCTACTGTGGGGCAGGTAGGGAGAAGAAGACATGGAGTCCTCAAGACTCAGCTAGCAGAAAGGTGGCAGGCATCAGACAGCTTGAGGTATGTTCTCCTGGATGGCTCCTTCAGGTGCCAGCCCAGGAAAGCCTTTCAGACTTCTGGAGCCTCACCTATGACTGGGTGCCTCCTTATGGGGCTGGCTTGAGAGGCAGCATGGAAGTACAGAATCGGGGAAGGGGGAACAGATTGCGGTGAGCAGTGTGAGCTGGGATAGGATCCTCTACCACCCATCACTTGTCACTTGAAGAATTCCGAACTCATCTCACACTTTGTTATTGTTTGGTGAGAGAGATTATGAAATATAAAAAAAATGCAAGGGAGTAACCCGATCCCTATGAGGAGGGGAAAGAAACTTGGGTGTGGTGCAACCTCGTAGCCTTTTGTTAACATCTTAAACTTTGGAAATTATTCCAGCTGTCTGTGGTAGCTCACGTCTACAGTCAGGAGACTGAAACAGGATGACTGATGCACATCTAAGAACAGCCTGGGCTAGGGTGTAGCACTGCGTCTAAAGAAAAGAGGAGCTGTGAGAAGAGGAGAGGAGAGGAAAGGACTTGAAAGGGCAAAAAGGGAAAAGGAAATTGTTCTGCGGCCACAGTTCCCCACATCTCCACCATCTGAGCCTTGGGTGTGACTGGGTGACTGGCTGGCCTAGAGCCTCCCAGGGGCTAATGGCATTTTTCTTTATTTGGTGACCACCACCCTACGGAAGCTCTGAAGTTCCGTGGATGGCATTCCTTATCCTAACTCTGCCTCTAAGCTACTACCCTTGGCCAAGGCAGCCTCTTTCTATGCTTCAGTTTCCCCTTCTCCATATTCATGAAGGTAGCTAGCTCTAGCTTGCTCTCTCTCTCTCTCTCTCTCTCTCTCTCTCTCTCTCTCTCTCTGTGTGTGTGTGTGTGTGTGTGTCTGTCTGTCTGTCTGTCTCTCTCTGTGTGTCTCTGTCTCTGTCTCTCTCTCTCTGTCCTTGAAGTACCATGTTTCCCCTATTTGCTGCAGGTGACTTCTCCCATGATTTCTCCTTCCTCATCTTTCCCTCCTGAACCCTAAGCAGCCCTTTAGCTCTTCCATATGACACCACAGAAGCCACCCTGAGAGAGAGTTACCACTTTATTGTCATTTGTTTGATGACTAGCCTCTTATCCACAGCAAATATTAGAGTCATGGCTGGTCTTGGCTTCAGGTTGGCCACTCAATAGCTGTGTGACCTAGACAGAGTTGTTGAAATTCTCTGACCTTCACTGTCCCCACCTGAAAAGTGATATTATAAAACACCTCATAGGGTTAGTGGTAAGAATAAAATGCATACAAACCCTTTAGCACCATGCCAGCTCACCGTATGTGTGCAGTTACTCTAATTGGCATTGCCATTGACTCTAATAGTTTTGTGTCTTGAGAAACCACACTTGAGGTTCATTACTCTTCAGTTCAAGGAGCTTGGAAAATACAACCCTTGGGGCTATTGATGGCACCAAAGAGATACAACACTCACAGGTTCACACAGCTGCTCTCCAATGTCTCTAGACAGAAGAGAAACAAAGGGAAGGAGGAAGGACCAGAAGGTGTACCAGCCAGGATAGATCTAATCTTGACCATGGCCTCCAAAAAAAGGGGCTAATACATTGAAATGGCCAGTATACGTGGGAGGTTCTGCGGAGGGTACCTAAGACTCTCAGGCATACCCTCCCTGGGAACCTCATGACAAATGTGCAAAGTCATCTTTTGTCTCCCTTTCCCAGTCAGCAACTAAGAATCCAACTGAATCTCAGGGCCTCACGATCAGAGGAGACAGTCCAGGTTCAAACCTCACCCAAAAGGATAGATGGGGAAAGAAGGGAGCTTGCTCAGTCACTGAAAGCACAGGCCCCCATGGTGGGGCAGGAAAAGCAAGCCATGAAAACGTCCTGCTTTATTTATGGAAAATTAATTCAGCATGCAACTTCATTATATTGCCATTTCTCGAAACATTAAGTTCCGTCAAGGCTGTGAATGTCTGGGAAGCTACAAAATGTCCTTTTTTGAAAACCTCCTGTTATCTGTAAACATCCCAATTTCAGGCCAACCTAGATTTCCTTTTCCCTTCCCTTAACGTGTGGACTTTTACATTTAGAAAGTTCCAAGGGCCGATGTGTCTTAAAAATGTTTTCCAACAGCCTGTGGGCCCCGGGGAAAGCAGTGTTCACTTTAATCATTCGGTGAATTAACTGCCCCTCCCCTTTTTGGCTTTAAATACATGGCTACAGAAGATTTATAGTCTGCAGTCCTAGAAATGGTGGAGCAGTGTATTTCTCTTGTCGGACATCGCTCTCTAGTGGTCAAGCCTCCACATGAAAAATAGAGTAACCTAAAGCACCTGTAGGAACTCTTTCACTCCCTCACTGGCTGACACACCCAGTCAGCCAGCTTCCTGCCTGCTCATTTAAAAAAAAAAAACCCACCACTTAAGGGTCTATTGTATGCCAAGCAACAAGGATTCAAGATGCCTCCTCTAGCAACTAGTGATTGGCTTGCTGATGCTTATTCTGAGAGTCTGAGGGAAATGGTCCAAATCTCAACTCCCAGCTCTGCCCCTTAGAGCATGAAGACTCTGGAGAGATCACAGATGTCAATTTTTCTTGCTGGGCTTATTTTCTTGCCCCAGGGTTGGTCATGTCAGTTTTCCCACCTCCAAAGGATATGGTCTTCCAGGACTTCATTCTGGTTTCACAGCCAGCCCTAAGGAGCATCCTTGGGAGAAAGCAAAGTTCAGATCATGGTTCCAAAGACCTTGGCTTTGAGTTCTGGTTTTGACAGTAACCGACTTAGCTATAACTGCTTAGCTATTCTTAGTGCCTTTCTTTCTGGCTGTGAGATGAGCATGGTTCCTGACTTCCACACAATCACTCAAGTTCACAGACTGTGATGTAAGGGGTATTCCCAGCGGAGCTCACAAACATAATCACCTGACCCCTTCCCTTACTGAGACAGTGATCTGAAACAGTTAACAAGCTGCTTAGGGGAGTCCAATGCACAGTGACCTCCAAGCACAAGCCTGCTGGTCTAGATTGCAGCTCGACAAGCTTGGCTGTACTGAAAGGCATTATGGTTCCAGAGAATCAGAAGTTCAAAGTCACAAGGACATCTGTTCCACTATATTCATAACATCATTATTTGTAATAGCCAGAACCTGGAAACAACCTAGATGCCCCTCAACTGAAGAGTGGCTAGAGAAAATGTGGTACATTTGCCCAATGGAGTACTACTCAGCGGGGGAAAAAAAACCAATGGAATCTTGAAATTTGCAGGCAAATGGATGGCACTATAAGAAACCATCCTGAGTGAGGTAACCAGTCACAAAAAGAGAAACATGGTATGTATTCATTCATATATGGATTTTAGACATGAATCAGGGGAGTGCCAGCATACAATTCCATGGCCAGAGAGTCTGGGGAAAAGAACCTCCATCCATGACTGATGGAAGCAGAGGCAGACATCCATAGCTAAACACTAAACTGAACTCCTGGAATCCAGTGACAGAGAGGGAGGACTGATAAGTAAAGAGGTCAAGACCAGGCTGGTGAAACCCACAGAAACAGCTGACCTGAACAAGGGGGAGCTCTTTGACCCCAGCCTGATGCCTGAGAGGACAGCGTGGGACTGATCCAGATCCCCTGAATGTGGGTGTCAGTGAGGAGGGCTAGGCAATCTATGGAGCCTTGGGTAGTATATCAGTATTTATCCCTGGCATACTAATGGATTTGGGTGTCCATCCTACAATGAGGGATGCTCTCTCAGCCTGGACACGTGGGGGAGCGCCTAGCCCCTGCCCTGGATGAAATGACAGACTCTGGAGATCCACCATGGAGGGCCTCCCCCTCCCTGGGGATCAGCTGTTTCTGTGGGTTATCCCAGGTGGTTCCAATATGCAGCCAGGCTTCACAGCTACACCAGTGTCTGACATATGGCAAGAGCTTGACCAACGTTCAAAGAAGTCCTTTCAGTAAAGCTACATGGAGACTCAAGCACCTGTCTTTGTTCTTTATTGTGTCATTATCCCACAGCAACACCTCTCTCAGATGTCCAGCCCCACAGACAGAACTGTTATCACACTCAAACCAAAAGATCTCTGCATTCAGAGGCTGCAATATTGCCTTGGGGCAATTACCACACTGCACCACCTTGGCCCCCAATTTTATAGCCAGTCCCAGGCAAAGAGGCTGCAAACCACAGGGGGACTTTGGCTCAGAGTGAGAGCTGTGTCTTTTTCCTTTTGAAAAAACTCTAAAACTCCTTCCATAATCTGTCTTGAAAAAGAAGTCATGCCATAGAAACTTCCAGAAAAATAATTGTCTGGTGGGACTATTTTAAGAGAGCTGAGACTTATTTGAGGCAGTGGGGACTTCCCTGACTCGCTGTGTCCCTTCTGTCTATTTAATGTCTTATAGTAAGACTGCGTGAATCTCCAGACAGTCTCTGTTTGGAGCCAGCAGTCCCTGCTCTACCCAGTCCCCTCCCTGCCCCCATCTTGCTGTACTGCAGACTGCAGTGCCTCTTTGCCATAGCCTCAGCTGGCCAGCTGTTTCCAGCTGTGCGGGCGATGAGAATATCTAACAAGGTTTTGAGCAGTGCACCTGATCCTGTTGGCTGGGGCTGCACCTATTGATTCAGAGGCAAGGACTGTGGAGGGTGCAGGGTGGGGGTACCCTTTTCACACCCCACAGCTACCCAATCAACCTCCGGCTTCTCCGTAGCACTTAGGAACAAGACCAGGAAAACCCATGGAAGTCTTGTCAGCCCACTCTGAGCATGGAGGAGGGAGGAGAGAGGCCTCTGAGCAGCCCATATGAAACTAACACCAATCGCCCTGTGTTCTCTGTTCTCTGCTCTTGCACAGCCTCCCTTTCCGGGTGTGTGTTTCATCCTGGCAGTCTTCTGGGAGGATTAGGTGTTTATCTAAGACCCTTTCCCATTGACTGAAACTGCCTTCACCACCCACTGGCACTGAAGAGCCTTAAGTACTACCACATGGGGTGACTGAGGGACCCACAGAGACACAGCCCAAGAGCAGCAATAATGTGTTCTGCTTGACCAGAAAACAGTTTTGTTGGTGTTTGCCTGACTGCTTTGGGGGTTTCTGCAAATGGTAGGATTCTGGATTGACAGCCCAGTTCCCATGGTAAAGCTGGATGGCAAGGATTGAAGACACATCTCCATAGAGCAGCAGCTGCGGTCACTGGCCTGAGCCTAGTGCCCTCTGAACTACTCCATTTTTATATTTGTGATAGTGTTTCCCACACACACCCACAGCCAGGTTCTACTCCATCTCCAGGACCAAGGGCTTCAATACGAGCAACAGAGTCAGCCCCAGCAGCAGAATTGCCCAACGGAAAAACCCAACAATTGATGCTTCCGTCAACACCCTCCAAGGCTGCCAAGCAGGTTGCAATCTCCAGAACTAGTCTATAAGGCTACAACTCTGACCAGTCAAGGTCACCTGGGAGACAGAAGCATCATTCATTTGTGATGGCATAGGAAAACTTTGGGGGATTTTTTTCCTTCCCTTTCCCTTCCGCGTTCCGTTTTCTCCTCCCCCTTCCCTTTCTTTCCCTTTGTTCATCACATAGCCTCAAGAATTTGGCCACCACAGAGATATTTATCCAGCTGGCCTTCCCCAGATCCAAAACCTATAGCCTCCAATAGTGTACGATCTGGTACATGGAAGCCTGCAGCTTTTGCGCTCTCCCATCCATCCCCACCCACCCCCTTCCTTGAATATTTCTCATTCAGTCTCATTCCTTTGCATTTTCCTCTGGGGCCTCAATCCTGTACCCATGCACATCTACCCAAGCATCTCTGGAACTCACGGTGTCCTTATTATTAATAAGACTAAAAGTAACAGATCATAAATAAGGCCTTGCCTTCAAAAGGCTCTCTTGACACCAACCCAGGGCCCAGAAGAACTGTTCATGTAAGGTAATTGATGGTACCAGAGGTTAGACACTTGTCCACAATTGGCGGCTAACTAGCTTGTGGTAGAGCCAAGTGGGGAACCTGATTTGAGTACTATTATTTATAGCTTATTTGAAAATTACTTCAAAAAATAAGCAAGTGGAAAAAAACAGGCCAGAATTTTCAAGTATGACTTTATTGCATTTTCAAGGGCAAGATTTATTTTCCCTCCTTAATATTGTAATTAAAATAAATGGAATAAGATCTGGTGTCAGATGTGCCTTTCCAACAACCTTTCGGAGGCATTTGTGTTGCTCTACAGAAAGGGAAGCCATCTGTTCACTTGTCTACAATGCAAAAGGCCTGCTCATTCAGTCAACCCGTGATTCGGTGTTGTATGTGGGCCCTGGGCCTCACAAAAGTTATGCTCTGGTGAGCAAAATTAGTCTTCCTGTCAGTGTTCACTGCCCTAGGTTTAGTAGTGAACTGAGATCCATGCCAGGAATGTCCAATTAGAAACACACACACACACACACACACACACACACACACACACACACACACACACACACACAAATAACACCGGCTATCATCATGGCTTTTTGTTGCCCTCCAGAACTTGATGTTAAGATCCTGTTGCTGAAGACACCATTCATTCTGGTCATAGGAGTTCGAAAAATCAAGCTGGAACTGATCTGGTAACATTTCGTTTTTAAAATGAGTGTGGAAGGCCCGGTCCGATGGCGCAGGCCGCGAAAAGCACTTGCCACTAAGCCTAATGATCCCAGTTGACCCCTGGGACCCATATGGTAGGAGAAAAGAACTGACGTCTGCAATCTGCCTCTGACATGTGGTCAGCCACATGTGTGCCTTGTGCATGCCCTCACATGTACACAGAAATGTCCCAGTGGTTACATCTACAATGCATCCCCCCACCTAAGGCTCAGGAAACATTGTGGAAGAGGAGGCGGAAAGATTGTAAGAGCCAGAGGGTCAGGGAGATTGCTATGAGATCCTAGTAATGTCAGAAGCTCCACCCACAAAATCCCACCAGTGTAATGCCCAGATGGAAGCGAAACGAGGTTGACACCAATGAACATGCCAAAGTAAATGGGGAAAGCCCATGAGTCCTCAACTCTACACAAAGAACCATAGGCATCTGAGGAAAGCTGGGAGTGAGAGAGGTGCTCCTCCCCAAGGAAAAGACATCAAACTGCTGTCCAGTGCCAAACAGCCTGGAAAACACACATACAAGTTAACACTATAGATAATAAGCAAAGTATATTTGGGAATAAAAGTATATACATATACATCTCTTCGTGCAATAACAATTAGTAAAAAATTGATCATAAATTTGAAGGAGTCATGGGAGGGATACATGGAAGAGTTTGGATAAAGGAAAGGAAGGGGGAAATGTAGTAATTATAATCTCAAAAATAATCAAATGCCAAAAAATTAGCAAAGAATGGGTTGGCAGGCACACGGAGGAGGACTTAGATACAGTGAGCAGTAAATAAATGCCAGTATTCAAAGTAAGTCAGAACTGACTTTTGATGAGAGGTGTAGCTAGACAGCAGTGTACTTGAGTCTGTAGCCTGTGGCCCAAATCACAGAACCAAAGTACTGTGTAGTGGGGCTGCCGTGTGTGTGTTGTTGGATGGAGACTTGCTGAATCTTGACTGTGTGCTAGGCATTATGTCACATGTTGGAAACAAGAATAGAAAGTGCTACTTTCCAGGCTGTTTCAGCCCACCTAAGGAGGCAGGCGTGTTTGTACCATTGTGAGCAATTGCTAATGGGATAGTCAATGATACACAGTTAATGGGTAATTAATGCTCATTTTATTTTTTCCTGTGACACTTGTCTTTAAAGGGGTTCTTAAAATATCTAAGGTC